CCACAGGGAAAGGGACTGGGGAGAATGGGAGGGTAGGGAGGGATAAGTGGGGGGGGAAAAGAAAGGGGGTATTATGATTAGCATGTATAATGTGGGGGGTAGGGGAAAGGGGAGGACTGTGCAACACAGAAGACAAGTAGTGATTCTACAACATCTTACTACGCTGATGGACAGTGACTAATGGGGTTTTTGGGGGGGACTTGGTGAAGGGGAGAGCCTAGTAAACATAATGTTCTTCATGTAATTGTAGATTAATGATAACAAAATAACAAAAAAAATGAGTATCAAACTGAACACACACACAAAAAAAATAATAAGTGACCCAAGTAATTCTTTAAATACGCATTAAAGCTTGAGAACTGCTCCAGAGAATTTGCCACAAATTGTTTAAACACTCTTCACAGCTGGCCCATGGGTCAGGGCTGGGAAGCCAGCACGTTCAGTCACAGTGAACCCTTGTGTTGCCCCTACCCTGTGTCACTGCATAAGACAGGACCGCTGTCTTCGTGGAGCTTTCATCTGGTAGGCGAGATGAATCAATAGAGGTTTCTGGGCCCCACTGCAGAAATCTGTTCAAAAAGGTCAAACTTAGGATCTAGAAGTATGTGCTTTTTTATAGGCCTTCCCCAGTGAATTCAATGAGCTGCCTGGTATAGTGTAGACAAAGGACTCACTTTCAAAACAATGCATGAGCTTTGGAATGAGTCTGATAAGGTTCACATCCTGGCTCCACCACCCTTTAGCCTTGTTGACACCCCTCTGAGCCTCAGTTTCCTCATCTGTAGCATGGGAATAATGACACCCACAGGAATTCTAAGGATTCAGTGGGAGAAGGAGAGCTCAGTAAGTTTCAGTGTCCTTCCTTCATTCCTGCTAAATGTGGAATGAAAGGAAAACTCTTGTTTCCTGTTGACGGGAATTGAATCTTTAGGGTCACAAGCTAAGAACTATTTTGAGGTCAGTGAGTCCTTCCTGAGAATCTTTGCTTCTGCTGCCCTTGATAGGGTTCGTTCAACATTTCTGTTTGGACTCATCTATTCTTCCAGTCCCTTACACTACAGGTCCTAACAACCACCCAAAAGGAAGACTCTACCTAATTTCTTCTTAGGAGTCACAAACTCAAAAGCCAGGCATTTGGTGTGAGACAATGGGGAGTGGCGGGACAGGAAGAACGGCAGAACTATTGACCCAGCTCTGCATGTTCTCCAGGGGGAAGCAGAGCCCAGTATGGTCACGTTCGAGTTTAAAAGAAAAGGCAAAAATCTAGACTGCATGTAAAATCTCCCAGTTTTTAAAGCCCTGTGCCCCAACTATATACAACATACCAGGAAACCTTTATGAAGTGGATAATTTTCCAGAGAAATGCAGCTTACCAAAATGGGTTCCTACAGAGATGGCAAGTCTAATAGACTAATGACCATAGAAGAAATTAAGTAGTTGAAGAGCCTCCCCTGTAAGAAAGCTCCAAGCCCAAGATGGCTTTATAGGGGAATTCTTTCAACCACAAAGGTCAGATAATACCAGCACCACTTAAACTATTCCAAAGCAGTGAAAAAGAAGGAAAATGCTGTTGTAGCTAGTATAACACTGACATGGAAACTGGATAAAGACTGCACAAAGAAAAAAAAATAGCAGACCAATCTTATTTATTAATATTGATGGGACCATCTTAAATATTAGCAGAATCTAACAGCAGACTGAAACAAATCATGCCTAAATGATTTTTTATTTAGGTGCATTTAGGATAGGTAGGATCATCAGACTATTAGGATAGGCTAGGGCAGAAATTCTCAACTGCAGGTGATTTTTCCCCCAATATGACACTTGGCAAAAAAAAAATGTTAAACATTCCACAACATGTACAATACAGTTCCCAATAGCAAAGACTTATTTGACCCAAAACGTCAACAGTGTTGAGGTTGAGGACCCCTGGACCTGATTATGTTGCAGAAATACCTCCCAAATCTCAGGGGCTCAAAACAGAGGTTTCTCTCTTTGTGGATCAGATGGGGCTGTGCTATGTGTCATCCTCTCTCAGGCCCCAAGTTAAGGGAGGCACCATCCCTGTGCTGCTATTTCCCAGGAAAGTAAAGAATATTAC